CAAGTCATAATTTGAGCATCCTCCTGCTCCCATTTATCATATCCCGGAGAATCAATTGGGGGTTTATCTTCCCTCACATGTTTCACTTTCTTTTTGGCTTTCAGGAAAATTTCAACAGACTTAGCCCAAGGGACATAATTCTCACCATTCAGTTTTATAGAGGTCATCTGCACATTCAAATAATTAGAAGGCACCATCACACTTGATTTGTATTCATTGTTGTCTCCCATGACTGCACAAGAAAACAATGGGAAGTTGTACCACTAAATTGTTACTCTATTGCCCTAATAAATCACCACACTCCACACGAATGACCGAACACCACTAGGGTTCCTAGTACCAAGTTTCAACAACAACACTCACAACTATTCACCACTGTTTCAGCAACAATATTCACAACTGTTCACCACCTTTAGCAACAACAATATTGTTGCCATCTACTGTCAGCACTAGAAACCCTCACAACACACCTCACGAATAGGATATTCAGTTCTGCAACATAAAAAAAACTTGCTACATACCACAACTTAGTTCGAAAATCATGTACCTGTCGAGTAGAGGGTACCAAGTCTGCACTGTCACCATCACAAAACCAGCCCTCTTCGAATTGCGAGTAGAGGGTTTTCTACCAACCACACAAATCACAATGACTACGCTCATTGGAGGCATGGAAACCCCCAGAAGGAGAAAACGGCCAGTCCTTTTCTTTCTTTCTAGAAAACTCTCTAGGTATCAATGAGAACTCTGCAAAACCCTAGAAAGGAATGCACAGAACAAAGAGAAAATGAGACAACTGATCTGAATTGATTATCATGGCTCTGATAGCATGATAAAACTCAGACTAGATGTTTGTATAAGTTTAGATCAGAAGAAAGAGAAGGAGAAGAGAGAGAGAAGGAGAAGAAGGAGAAGAAGGAGAAAAGGTATTCGGCTTCAAATCCCTCTAGTCGGCCCTTCTTTTATTTATACTCTTCTAAGGTATACAAGAATTACCATTGTGCCCTCACTTAAGTGATAGCCACATCAGCTGAACAATACATATATAACTAAACATAAAAGGACTATACCACCCTTGTACAGCCGGCTCTAACAGAACACAAGACATTTTTTCACATAAGGTGGCTCATTTCCTATGGAGATTCTTCTTTCTCGTTCAGAATTCAAGTGTTAGAGCCACAGAACTCAGATGACATTTTCCCTAAGTGACAACATTTACAAGGAACAATAAAAGCAAAAAAAAATGGAGCTGCACTCCTTTTGTAGTTTTTTGAGGCATTTGGGGTGGGAGAGAGAGAGATTTGTAATAATAATAATAAATAAATAAGAAAAAAATTATTGACATAAGAGAAAGTACAAAGAAGGTGACAACACAAAAAAAAGCAGAACTTAAGAAGGAGAGAATGCTAACAGATGTCTGTGGATATTGGTAATCTAATATTGCAGTGCATTCTAGTGCAGCAAGAATTTTCTGGCCTGGATAGATCTTCATTTGGGTCAGGCTTTTGGGAGACTCTTCAGCTAGACTCTGAGGATAAAAATTGATGTGATTCACAAGTATATTCTATTTGTTTGTTTTTGTGGATAGGGTACCCTATTTATCATTGTATCTTTTGTCATTTAAATTTTATTTGTAAATGTAATAAAAAGATAACAGTTTTATTCCATAAAATAACCAGGTAAAGTGAACAAGCATGACTTTTTGTATCGAGTAATCAGCTTCTTGGTGACATAAGCTCAACTAACTTCCCTTAAATGGATACACTTTCACAATATAAATTAATAACGAACCTGTCAGTAAATTTTTGAAAACTGTATAAAGCCAGAAATTCTAACAAAGAACAATAGGCACCCACAGCTTGCAGAGCCTCATCGGTAACGCTTATACATTGTAGTTTTAGAACTTTCAAGGAGGGGCATCCTTGCGCCACAGAAAGAACTCCCTTATTCTTAATAAACTCCGAATCCAGTGACAAGGTCTGGAGAAAGGGACAATGAGAACCCACTGCCTCCAAAGAGATGTCAGTTATTTTGGCACAAGCTGCTACACCAAGAGTTTTTAGTGATCTTCCACATCCGTGGGCTAATTCAACCAAGCCTATATCACTCAAGCCTTCACAAAAACGCAAATTTAAATCTTCAAGTTGCTTACAACACTTTCCCACAGCTGCCAGACCTTGATCTCCAACATAGCAACCCTAGATGCAAATATACAATGTGAGATATGAATAAAATTTTTACCTTAATCAGCATACCAATAGAAGAACAATGACAAACAAATCAATTATCTATAAATATATCAATATATCATGACAATTAACTACTGATCTTCACAATCCAAACACCAATGTTGTCAAAATTCTATCATTTACAATATGATTCACATTCTGAATCCTGAACCCCAAGGATTCCACTTCAAATCTCACCAGTGGATCCACCTACAGAAAAATCTACCAATGATTATCTGAATCTTGAGATTCAGCTCATGGATCTCACTACTTATACGGTTCAAATCAATTAGCTGGCATCCAGTGCCATAACTTGTCCTTCACTTATCTATAAGTTTCTCTTTCAAAGTGCTTTTGTCTTAAAACTATTACCAGATTAAATATTTGAAAGGGCTTCTTAGAAACCTTTTCTATTTCATTTTCCATCGATATGTGGGTGAAAGAACCATTGTATGTGAAATTGTGAATTGATCACTATGAAGTTGAAGTTGACTATACCATCAGCTATTTAATAGTGCAAAAGTGGTCAACTTGGTGATAACAATTAATTCCATGAAGTTTGGTTGCAGGTGGACTCCCTCATCAAGCATTTGTAGCCTCTTCACCTGTGCAGTTGGTAGCCGAATCAAAAAGAGGGGGAAAATCTTGTGGAGGTGCACTAAGGCAGCAGTTTGTTGGACGATTTGGGATGAAAGGAACCAAAGGATATTTGCTGAAAAGGAAAGAAGCAGGGACACAATTATAGAAGTGATCTCTTTGATGGTAGCACAATGGGTAAAAACAATGAATTTATTTGAGGATGCTTCAATAGACACCATCATGAATAATTGGCAGGAAATAGCAGTTTCGGCTCCTAGCAGAATCAATGTCCATCCGATGTGGTTCCCTTCAATGGAAGGCTTTATCAAACTAAACTTTGATGGGAGCAGTGAAGGAAACCCCGGGCCATCAGGGGTTGGTGGTGTGTTCAAAACAGAGGCAGGTTCAGTACTTCAGTTATAGCTCTTTTTTCAGGACCAATTGGAGTTGGAGATTCTTTGAGAGCAGAAATTCAGGCCCTCTTGGAGGGTAAAAAGGGCTAAGGAGTTGAATATAAATAAGTTGATTACTGAAGGAGATTGGCAAGTGGTAATTGGCTGGATAGAGAAGGCAAACGATGGGTTATGGGCCTACATTAATGAAAAAAGGCATTTCAAGTGGCTAACCCAAGGAATGGATGTGCGTGTCCGGTGGGTTAAAAGATGTGCTAATTCATTTGCAGATGCTTTGGCCAAACAGGGGGTGGGAAGAAGCCAATTGTTTTGGGCTACTATGTAATTTTCCTGTTGGGGGGGTGATAATAGGGGTTACCTCCCCCCACCTTTGTATTTTAATCTTTTTTCTAATTTAATATAAATTTTCTGTTACTGTTAAAAAAAACAATTAATTCCATGAAGGATGTGGATTGAAAATTTCTTATATTGCAAATTTAAGGGCCTTTTTCTTGATAAGTGGCAAAAAGTATTGTATTACCATGAAGAGGGCGAGAGCCCTCAAAATATACAAAAGGTGTGACTATAAATATCCATAGATCATTTATAGCATGTTCAAAATATGATAGAGCTCCACCAAGTCCTAAAGCAATAAGCTTGAACTCCAGAAAACAGATTCAAGGCCTTGACCCATCTCATTAGTGTTCATTCTGCTTTACTGATTAAAGCTTCCCTTTGAGAGGCCTTAGCCTCAAAAGTTCTGCTGTTTCTTTCCTTCCATACAACTCAGCAGATGACAAAAGGTAAAGAGTTACATTAGCAGCTTGCCCTTGGCCAAAAACCCACCCACTCTCCAACATAACAGCACAGGGCCAGCCCTTCTACCACTGTTAGAATTTTGGGAGAGTTTACCATACAAGCATCAAATTGAGAGAGAGAGAGAAGAAGAAGAAGAAGATATTTACCTGCAGGTGCAAAAGCAATATGTAATATCTCATTACATTATGTTGAAATTAATACCTAAAGGTGCAAAAGCAATAAGTAGATATTTACCTGCAAATCCAAAAATTTCAAAGATCTACACTTCTCCGCAATTGATTGCAAACCCACACTGGTCACATTAGAACACCAAACTAAGCTCAACTTTTCAAGTCTTGTAAAGCCTTCAGCAAGAGCATTCAGGCCAGCATCTGACAAACTGTATGGCTCTAAATTACTTCCTTCAGATGCACTATTTTCAGAAGAATATCGAATTTTTGAAGATGAACGAGCAGATTTACTACCACGACGCCTTTTTCCCTGCATGATGAATGATGCTACAATCATTCTTAGTATTGACAATGTACAGCTAGAGTATTACAATGTAGTAAAAGAGTATCAAATTTCTTACCCCACCTAGGAATGAAGCTGATGAATAAACAGTACTGAGGGGGAGGGATGAAAGACTAAAAAGAAAAATTCAGCCTAGCACTTGTGACTTAACCATCTTAGAATTAATAATAAAAGCATCAAACATTCAGATTGTTCATTCATAAAGAAAGTGGACCATGCAGCCTATTTGTACAAGTTATAGTTTCACTAAGCCTGGGATGCAAGCAAGCCACACAAAAAATATGATCTTGGAGGGAACCTGAGATTTCCAAATCCAAGACCAAAACAACCTTATCAAATGGTCCCAACAGAGCTCAATAGCAAGATTTAGTTGAAAAGTAGCCATCTTCTACCACACCCAAATCCTGGCATCTCTAGAATTGGGATCAACCTGCACCTCATACAATCTGCCCAATAATACCCCAAAAATATCACCTCTCAATCATTCAAATTCCTACAAAATGTGGGATCCCACACCATTTGGCCATTAAGCACCTATACAAACTCTCTAACCGACCCTTCCTTGTTAGAGGCAATACCAAAGAGAAAAGGAAATATCTCACAAAGTGGCTGGTTCAAGCACCAAGTATGTTGCCAAAAGAAAATGCTCTTCCCATCCCCAGTATTGTACTTAATATGCTTCTGAAATTGAGGCATCCTAGCCATTATCCGATTCCAAACAAAAGTGCTCAGAGACTGTTGTAGAGCAAGTGAAGCCCAGTCAATAGGTGATTTTCCATACTTGCATTCAATGATTTGACGCCACAAATGATTCCTTTCCTCTCCATACCTCCAAAGCCACTTACATAGTAAAACATCATTCATGATCATCAAATATCTAATTCCACCTCCACCTTTCTCCTTGGGCTCACAAATAAAATCCTAAGCAACCAAATGAACTTTTTCCTCTTCATTAGGTCCTTCCAATAAGAAATCCATCCTCAGCTTCTCCAAGATTCTAACAACCAATGCTGGCAAAGAGAAGAAAAGAAAGGTAATATGTTGGCAAGCTTGAGAGAAGAGAGCACTTTTAATTTTCCCTCCTTTAGACAACTACCTCCTTTTCCAAACTGAGAGCCTCCTCTTAAAGTGTTCTATAACCAGATCCCAAATAGCATTGGATCTGTAATTATCCCCCAGCAGCAAGCTCATACCCATATATTTAGTAGGAAATCATCCAACACAGCAACCCCATGTACTATCCATCTCACCAATAAGAAGGACATCACCCATAGGCCTAATCTGGCCTTTCTGTAAATTAACCTTTAGTCCAGAGATGGATTCAAAACAAATCAATTGGCACCTAAGAAACATCAAATTAGCTTGGCACGCCCTTGTGAATTTTAGGGTGTCATCGTCAAACTGAAAGAATGGCACCAAGGGCCCACTTCTGCCGATAAAAAAACCTTCAATATAGCCTCCTTCAACAGCCTTATTGATCAACCTCCCCGGTGGGTTCACTACTAACAAAAAAAGAAACAAGGATAGAGGCTCATCAAGAATTTGTCGCCCATCCACAAAAGATTGGGAACACCTTGCCTTAATACACTCAATGGCAATTAGAGGCCCATCAAGAATTTGCCACCTATCCACAAAAGCACCCTGAGACTAATGGGTAAGACCAATTTCCCAGTAACCTTCATCAACCTATTAACCAATACATTGGAAATGATTTTATGAAAGTTTCCAATGAGACTAATGGACCAGAAATCTTTGAGATCGAAAGCACCAACAGCGTTGGGAATTAGTGATACAAAATTGGCCTTGGCACCTTGAGATAGCAAAGCATTCACCTGGGAACCCCTCACTACTCCCAGGAGATCACCCCTTATTATTTCCCATCATATGGTATATAAACCCACAGGGAATCCACTGGGGCACAGGGCCTTATAACAATTGAGCTCCTGCTCTGCCAAACCTCACCCTCCTCAAACTCCCTCTCATACGTCATACAAAGCTCTAGCAAGTTGATCAAACTCAACACCATCCAATTGTGGTCTAATCACCTCTCACTCAGCATAAAGCTGCTTGTATTTCTTAGATGATTTCAAAGTAGGAAAACTAGAAGAGTTGGCCAATCTTTCCCTCTTTTACTACAAAAGCATCAAAGGCCCTCTCCTTTTAATATCAGATAATAAAGTTTGAGATTGTACTTAAGCTGTTGGAGTAACTCTAATTTTTTCTATGGTGCTAATTCTATCAAGAAGCTATTAGGTGCTGATTCTTAGAGAAACCTAGGTGTTAATTCTTATATTTTTTATTTTCTTTTTCTTATTTTGCAAGTCCATTCTGCACCAACCATTATTACCATCGTCAATGGAGGAATTTTAAGGATGCCTAGACATAATGGAAAGACTCTACATTCTGCCATCACTTGTATGTAACTATCAAACATGATGAGTATACCTAAATATGTATGATGATCAATATGGGAGGCAGGTTGTGAAAGTTGGTTAAGCTGTAGTTATATGTATGATGATCATGATGAGTATACGTGCAATTAGTTATATATTTATATATTGGCACTAAAGACGAAAGTCGTGCAAGTAGTTATATTAATTACCATTAACACCCCGAGGGGGAAGATAGCATCCTAATGTTCCCTTGCACAAGGAGCTTCACGACCTTGGCTGCAAGGGAAATGCAATAATGTGTGGGATATGAGACCGTAACACCTGACGTGCCGGCAGAAACTAAGAATTCAACCCATTTACTAGTTTTAACATTTACGTGCCATAAAACAATATTCTACCGATCATTTAAACAATTCCATCTTGTTCGTGAATTCTATATTTACAATGCCTTACCACTATCTACATTAACCATCCAACAGAAGCATAACATTTTTCGTTTGTTTAACTGGAAAAGAAATCGCAACAACTCACCATAAAAGCACCAATTCATAACAATTCAACGACCAAAAGGACTTACGGTAGGCGGCCGGGCCAATCCTGGCCGTGTCGAGTACCCAAACTGGAGCGGCAACGAAACCGGCAACCTTTCGTCAATGTAAACGTTTTCGATGTTGACGAATCGGCGAACCAGGAGGTTCGCTACCACGTCGGGATTACCTGAGGCTTCAATTCGTACTGTTCGGCGACTGGATCTATCTAGTCTGAGCCATCTCTTGCAGACGAGAGAGCAGGCGTCGCAGCTTAACTTCGAACCGTCGAGATGATTGAAGATCTCGATGATCAATTCGTCGGGAAGAACCGTGTTTATCAAATCATGGCCTCTCATTACAAGAAATAAATGAATGTAAATAAAAAAAGTATTAATAAATAATGGAATTGCAGAGATGGGCAACGATGAAATCCTCCGGAAAACCAGACGGAGAAGAATGAGAAGGAGGTGAAAGCGATGATGTTGCGTTTTCGAGTTATCCCGGATGGCCGGATTATTGTATGTTACCTAATATGAGAATCTAGTTTGATCTGACTGTTTAATCGGCATTGATAGACAATGTTCGCGAGCTGTGGGTGGTGATGGATTGATGCGAACCAAGGATTGGGACTGTTCGAAATTGGAATACGTACCTATCAAACCGAGTTGGGAATGTGAGTCGGTGAGTGCCCTCGTCTCGACACGAGGCATGCAAGCGACGCGCCGACGCCAGCTCACGGCTATGACTCAACATAAGTTGTGCGCTGCAAAGTAGGGGTGCAACTTCGGCGGGCCCAACCCGAGACCGAACCGATTCAGCTCGAAATTTTATACGGATTGGGCTTACATTTTTTGTCTTTGGGCTGGGTTCAGGCCCAACAAATCGAAATTTTTTATTTTTCAGGCTGGGCCCCGGGCTTAGCCCTAAGGTGGCCCGAGCCTGGCCTTCGCATATATATATAGTTTTAAAGTGGATTCACTAACCAACCTGAATGCATCAAATTACAATGTAGTTTGGGCTTGGATCGGAAAAATCGGGCTTCATCTCAAGTTTGGGCCTTAAGCCCAAATTTTAGAGCCAAGCCTGGGTTGACCATAAACCCAGCCCAACCCACCCGACTTGCACCCCTACTACAAACAGATCGAATCAAATCACATTTTACAAATTCAAGGGTCCATTCATCTATAATCAAAACCAAAACTACACATTTTCAACGCATGTTTGGTTTATACGGGAATTGTAGTTCGATTCTAGTTCAAGAGTTGGAGCCGGAATCAACCGATTTTTTTTTTGTATTCATTTATTAATACTAATGGGGACCCATGAGAAGCATGGGCTTTGTTAGAAGAATTTGAGGTAAAAGGAGATAGGAGCGCAATTTGGATGGGGCCAACATAGGCTGGATCTGGCTCAATTGAAGCGCTTTTTCATGTTAGATTTGAGTCTTTGAACTTTAAACTAGGCTTGGGCCAGAAAAGGCATACCTAACCTGAACCTAGGTTGGGCTTAGATTGATGTATCAAGTAGCCCAACCCGACCTAACCCAATTTGAGCCTACCCAACATTTTATGATATGCATATCTACATATTATCAATCTATTCTACTTGGAAATTGGGCCATAAAGCTAAACACACCCAAGCCCAAGCCAAACTCGAGACGTTGGATTAAGCTCAGGTTGGGCCTAGGTTGGTTCCAGAAAAATTATTGGTACTTTTCAATAATTACTGATAATAGAATGACAATAATTATGACTAATTAACAAACCAAGGCCCAAGTTTACCAACCCAAGCTTAAGCCTTAATTTACTAACCTAGGCCCAACCCGAGCTTAACCTAACATCTTGAGTTGGGCTTGGGATTAGGAATGTTGAGTTTTGTAGCCCAATTTCCAAGTAGAATGTATTGATAATATGTAGATATATATATATATCATAAAATGTTGGGCAGGTTCAAATTGGGTTAGACTACCAAGGCTTTATTAGTAATTTCTAGTAATTTTGTTATTTTTTTGGCAAAGTGAGAGTTAGTGGTAATTTATTGTAATTTTGAATATGTACACTTAATTTTTGGTAACTTTAAATAATTACTTATAATTTACCAATAAAACAATTAAAGGGAAATAAAAATAAATTAATAACTATTCAAAATGACAAATAATGCGAATTACCCATAATTCTAGTAAGTTTTGCATTCTAACAATTTCTAGTAATTTTTGGTAATTACTGATAATATTAACAATTTAATGGTAATTTCTGTTGATTTTCAAAAATTACTGATAATTTTCAATTAACAAATTATTGATAATTTCTGGTACTTTTCAAAATCTCATAAATTTTTGGTAATGTCTAGTAATTTTTGTTATTTTCCTAATAAAATGAGAATTACCAGTAATTTTATTATTTTCCTGGTATATTGAAAGTCAATGGCAATTTTTGGTAATTATGAATTGCTACACTTAATTTCTGGTAATTTTGAATAATTAGTGATAATTTACCAAAAAATAATCCAAGGGAAATAAAAATAAATTAATATCTACTCAAAATGACAAATAATTTATGGCAATTACCAATAATTTATTTTTTAAGTATTGCTAACTTCTGACAATTTATAGTATTTTTTTTTTGTAATTTTGAATATCTACATTTAATTTTTGGCAATTACTAATATTATTAACAATTTATTGATAATTTATGGTAATTTTTAAAAATTACTGATAATTTTCCAATAAAAAATTTATTGGTAATTTCTGGTAATTTTCTTACTGGTAAATAATTCAAGGAAATTAACATTAGATTATTGAATATTTCCGATAATGTTGAGAAGAAAAGATTAATAATTAAAACACAACTAGAATTAACTCAGTAATACTATTTTTTTGTGAATTCATATTCTTACTTTTAATATAAATAGTAATGTTAATTTTCAATAATTTTTACTCTTAATTAACTAAAAATTACAAAAATAACTATAATGATTAAAAAATAAAACTAATTATTAATAACAGTAATTATTATCACTAATTATACTTATTAACAATATTTGATAATTATTAATGGTAATTATTAATAAAAATGCATTTGGTAATATATTAATTGTATTTAATTAATGGTATTTATTAATAAAAATATTTGGTAATTATTAATGACTATATTTATTTGGTAATATATTAACAACATTAATTAATTAACAATAAATATTAATGATATTAATAGTGATAATTAATAATTTAATTATTTAACTATAAATTTAATAAACAATAATTATTAACCCATAATTATAAACAACATTAATTTATTAATAGTATTAATAATTAATAGTAAATGCTAACATTATTAAAAGTGTCAATTTAATTAATAGAATAATTAATTATTTAATTGTATAAGTGTAAAAATAGTAATTATTAACCCGTAATAATAGTAATTAATAATTTATTAAATGATAATTAATACCGTAATTAGTAGCAGAACGGATATGGGTCGGCATACACTCTTATCCATATTGAATCCAATCTGTTTAACTTAAGCCACATCACTTAAGTTAAATGGACAAGGTAGGATTTTACAAACCCATTCCGTGTCGAACTCGTTTATCTAATCTTCTTAATCAATGAACTAGCGGAAGGGGCCCTGCATTGCAGGGGCTCACTTATAAACTATTAGGCTCGAGCTCAATTTGAATTAGAGACTTGAGCTCGAGCTCGAGTTTGGCTCGAGTCAAAAGCTCGGAAGTTCGAGCTCAGGTACCTTTGATTGCAGGTCTCTCAAGCAGTCGAGGTCTCCCTCAATTGCCAAGGTGCCAAACCGAGGTCTCCCTCAGCTGCTGAAGTGTTGAACTAAGGTTTCCCTAATAGGCAAGTGTCGAGCTAAGGTCTCCCTTAGTTGACAAGGTGCTAAGCTGGGGTCTCCCTCAGTTGTCGAGGTGTTGAGCCGAAATCTCCCTTAGTGACCGAGGTGCCAAGCCGAGGTCTCCCTCAGTGGTCGAGGTGTCGTCTAGCTCGAACTCGATTTGAATTAGAGACTTGAGCTTGAGCTCAGAAGTTCAAGCTCGACTCAATTCGAACTCGACTACCTTTGATTGTAGGTCCCCTAGCAGCCAAGATGTTGAGTTGAGGTCTCCCTCAGTTGGAGAGAAAGTGGCATTCTTGTAATTTATAAGGAGAGAGAGAGAGATGGCATTCTTGTAATTTGTAAAAGAGAGAGAGAGAGAGAGAATTGGTAGGAGAGAGAGTGGCATTCTTGTAATTTGAAAGAAAAAAAAAGCAAGAGAGAAAGAGTTGGTAGGAGAGAGTGGCAATCTTGTAATTTGAAAGAATAAAAAAGCAAAAGGGAGAGAGTTGGTAGAGAGTGGCATTCTTGTAATTTGTAAGAAAAAAGGCAAAAAATATTGTTAGATTCCACTTCCCTCATCCTCATGCCTTCTTACATACACATTTCAGCTTAATATATTTATATAGATCTTAACAGGGTCACTCAATATTATGGACGAAAATCAATGTTGGGGTCCCTTCTCTGGTGATTGTTTCTATCCTGTTGACCTAGAAACATAGTCAGAAAAGTTGCCAAAGAAGTCGGATAGTGAAAAAAGGTGTCTGAATTTCAAAAATGGTGAGAAATACCTGAGAATGAAAAAAAAAAGAGATTGAAATTATGTATGAGATTGAAAAACCGACGCCAAAATAAAAGAACCGATGAGTGAGAATCCGATTAGACAAAAACCAACGTTGGGGGCCCTTCTCCAATGATTGTTTCTATCCAATTCACCCCAAAACGAATGAAGGCTAAAATTTGGATGTTCAACCGGCTCTGATTTCAACCAAAACATGAGTTAATGTTAGGAAGGTGGAGTAGAGAAAACAGGGGCATAAAAATGGTGAATGAACGAACATCTCTTACCTATCCCAAACAAATCCAACTAGATCACTGGCTTCGGTTTCTAATGAAGAGAGAAAAAAATGAATTTGTAGACAACACAGTGAAAACAATGAAAGGGAAGATGGGAAGGCACAAAGAGTTAGGGAAGGATAGTGAAACGTGAATAGATTGAAAAACGGTGAAAAGGAAGATGGAAAGGTAAGAAGAGTTAGAGAAGGATATAAATCTTTAGAGATATGTTTTCGTTATGTCACAATAGTGAATTGTGATAAAATAAGTTGATATTTTTTGCCAAAAAAAAGGAGATTGCCATGCTGATGTGGCAATTCCATAACCTAGGTTAAGCATGTTGAGGTGTCGATATGAGAGAAGGAGAAGGGAGTGATGAGGTGGCTTCATGAGGAACCAAGGAAGGCCAAAACAAAGAAGGTCTGAGAGTTCTCGATTGGGGTAAGGGAGAAAGCTGAGGCCATCTAACATGACACTTTCTACTTTAGTGTGCGTGTGTGTGTATTGTTATTTTATTATTTTTTATTATTTTCTTATTAATTAATTATTAATATATTATTTTATTAGTATTTAATAATTAATGTGTTTAATATTTTAATATTATTTTATTCACATTTTATTACAATTTTATTAATAGTTTATCAATATTGTATTCTTCTTCTTCTTATTATTATTATTATTATTTCATTGTAAGTTTATTAATAGTTTATCATTTGCGGTTCCCATGGTG